TTTTGTACCCACCATCGATGTATGGGCCGTCACCGACATGGAGAGGTGGTGGACTGTGGGAAGTCGCAAACAATACGTCTCACACTTTGTCGCGTTCAGGGGACGGGACTCGAGGCTACACGAAATCCATTCATTAGTAGTAACTTCCAACATTTTGCGTGAGCTTACTTCTTTTCGTGCTCGCAAAGAACACTGTTCGAACATCTGCAACTGCTTTTTTATGAAGTGAAAAACTAAGCCTTGCAGACGCTACGGCCTCTTCATTCAAGAGGTTGTATCCTTCTTCGACAGCGTTCTCATGAGATATGGTACAGGAAAAAAATTAAAAGCTCAAATTATTCTTTTCCTAAAAGTATTTGAAATGTTGCAATGTTCATTTCAAAAAATCGTCCCGTTGTTCCGTTTTTTGTGCACACGCGAGTTTTTGACATTCAAACATTCATAACTTTCTTCATAATCAACTTTTTGCAAATGTCTAAGGCTAATTAGAAACTAGAAGATTAGCGCTTGAATAACTACCGGATATTTTCTGGATACTCTCTTGAAAAACGTCCCGTCGTTCCCTTTTTAAGGGGTTTGTGGCCCGATTTTGTGGTGAACTTCCTTCATAATTAACTTTTCGCAAATCTTTAAGATAAATTAGGAACTGAAAGACCGGAGCGTTTGAAAAATATTGAAATCCTTTTGAAGAACTCTCAAAAATAGTCTCGTCGTTGTTAAATTCTTCCCCTGTATGGCTTTCTGGCCCTCCTCCTGAAACGGGATGTTTCATCCCTTTGAATGCCCTTAATTTCTTCCAAGTTAGCATGATGAGAAACAGTAAAAAAAATATTGAAATCTACAAGATCAGCGCTTCATAGCTATAAGAAGCTTCGAAGAGAAAACCTTTTTTCTGTCAGAATTACTATTAATACTCCTCCGAATTCGTTGCCTTGTCTACTTTCTCCGAAATCATCAAAATTTCTCTGAAAGAATCCAATTGCTCGTTCTCACTGGAATATGAAGTGCTTAGCACGAACTTTTGCTCTGGAATACGCCCTTCAATCGTGCGTGGTGAGTAGTCGCATTATTGAATCGTATTAATGGGTTCAGTGCTTCAAAAATGACCCCATTGTGAATTTTGCTAAAATAATGAGGAAAACTTTTGGGATACGGGCGTGAGTTTTGCATTTTCGAAAGCCATCCACTTAATGGTTACTGAAATTTGATACGTTGGGAACGTCAAAAGGTAGCTCTGAGGATTTTAGCCCGACTACCGCCGAGAGGTTCTCTTTTGTTGCGTTGTCATTCTTTCAGAGACAAGGCTTCTTTCATGGACAATTTTGTACATAATGAAAACAGCCTTGAAATTCACAAGCCTTCTGCGTTCTGACAATTGCGAAAGTGTGTTACAAAATTCCAACTTGAATGGCTATATGTTGACGAAGCTATGCTGAAAATTGCAATTACTCTTGTCTAGTAGATACTTCCAATCATTTCAAACATTCCCCTCCGGAAATCTCTTCATGCCTCTCTCGAATTTACATCAGTGAAAATTGCAGCAGGGAAGGAGAGTTGAAGAGGATGACATTGATCGAACTCGCTCAGGGACGCGCCGTACATTCGACATCCGGCGCGAATAGTGGTTCCCACCCTCTCCCGAACAGGTTTAATATAATAGTAATGAATCTCGTGCATACAAACACTTTCGCAGGGACTCGCAAAGGTGGGCGATTCACTCCAGATTTCAGGTTTAGTGGAGGAGATGCGAAGGGTGTGGGCTTTCTGTAATGCGGAATTTCGCTTCCGTGATCTGCATAATGGACCCCAGGGATTAGCACAGACCCTTGCCAGATCATCTGATCTCTCCTTTGAGCTGATGAAGTCGGCTAGCCTACGTATTCCTACAGAATAGCACAGGTACCCATGTATTTAATCACTCAACCAGAAGCGGCATTATTCTCAAAACCCAGGTGCACGAAGAGAGTATTATGAAGTTCCGGTCGTATTTCGGTAGATATCTTGGGTACTCTTCGTCATAGACAATTATGCAGATATGCGTATACTGCGCCTCTTAGGAATTACACAAGAGCTGATACAAGCAACCCCTGAACACGGTCAGCTGCTTCAGAATCAACCCAGTAGGCCTAAGAGGCTGTTTGACGTCCACTTAATAAAGGAGTCACCATAGATTACTGTATTTCCAGGTCGGTCATTAATCTTAGGTTATTATTCTTTTTCTCAGGGTCACCT